TGCCAGGAGGTGCGCCTGTCGTCTTTCTTGTCCCCGCCTGGGTGTCACCTGGTCGCTCAGTAAGTGATTTCTCTGAGGTTTCTCCACCCTGAAGTCCCCGCTCTCCCCTGTGGCTGAGAAGTGTCTGGTGGGACTTGATGGATGTTCTTTCCCTCAGCAGAGTCCCCGTTTAGCATCCACTGACGATTCTGAGTAGCTGTCCCTGCAGGTATGTCGTGGGTGCTGGTTTTCTACTCGCAGCATTCCCTCCACGTCTGCCAGTTCACATTCTCCTGTAAAGAAGAGTGTTTCTTACTTGTTTGTTTGTCTGTCTCAGTGGACTCATGGGCTTCTCTGTTATTCCGTTGATTAGAATCTGATTCTGTCTATTAGCCTGATGACAGTCACTGGTTATCTGATGCTCCACTTGTCCCTGATGTGGCCAGTGGAGCCCCCTTGAGCTGGCGCCGGGTCCCCTCTGCTCTGAGCACAGTGGGCACTCCAGGTTCTATTATGTTTCTTGCCCAGCCCTGGGTCAGCCGCATGTCCAGGCACCCCTGGTTGATCATAGTGGACAGTGGTGTGTACACACCAGGACCCGGGGCTGCCAAGGAGCGGTCACTCCCAGGCCCTCCCAGCAGAGAGAGCTGGGAAATGAGTGTGTGAGTCCACAGTCACGTGCAAATACACATCTATATCTATCGACCTGCCTATCCACTAAACATGACTTCACACTGACACTGATCCCAGCAAAGGAGATGCAGACCCTGCTCACAACGAAGAAGGCGCAGACCCTGATCCCTGCAAATAAATGCAGACCCTACTCATAGCAAAGGAGACGCAGACCCTGATTTCTGCAAAGGAGATGCAGACCCTGATCCCTGCAAATAAACATAGGCCCTGCTCACAGCAAAGGAGACACAGACCCTGATTTCTGCAAAGGAGATGCAGACTCTGATCCCTGCAGATGAAATGCAGACCCTGCTCACGATGAAGGAGATGCAGACCCTGATCCCTGCAAATAAACATAGGCCCTGCTCACAGCAAAGGAGACACAGACCCTGATCACTGCAAAGGAGATGCAGACCCTGATCCCTGCAAATAAACATAGGCCCTGCTCACAGCAAAGGAGACACAGACCCTGATCCCTGCAAATAAATGCAGACCCCACTCATAGCAAAGGAGATGCAGACTCCAGTCCCCGCAGAGGAGAGGCAGACCCCTATCCCTGCAGAGGGGCAAGAGGCCCTGTTTGTGTGTGTCAGTATGCTTGTGGAGTTTGTCTTGGCTTTAGTTTTAGTTTGGTGGTTCAGTAATTTCGTGGTTGGAAGACATTTTATTGCTGAGTATATTACTGTGTGATAAGAATATTTGCACATTGCTGAGCACATCCTCAAATTCTTAGTGGCCCATGTGTAAACAACTGCTCGATAGAAGACTGAGGACATAGTGCAGCCCTCGGTCAGGGCCAGCGGGTGGACATCACACCCTGGGCTTCGGCAGCGGTCACAGGAGACTATTAACAAGTTGGCACTGTCCTGTTTTCTGCTTTGCTCTGCTGGGGAATGATTCTAGGGTTTTGCTTCTCTTAGGTTGTTATCTCCTTTTATTTCCTGCTCCACAAGGAAGCCTGGGCACTTCTTCACCGAGATGGTTCCCAGAAGGTCAAAGTTCCCGGCCAGGGCTCAGTGCAAGCACTTGGTGAAGATGCGCAAACCCACGTGGGCTCAGAGCTGGTGCGGCTTTGCCAACCTGAGGTTGTTTCCTGTGGTGTTAGGATAACTGGACCCGTTGGCTTAAGGAGCCATTAGAATGTTCCAGCCATTAGATGAGTTCCATTTCGTCTTTTCTAAAATACTAGTGACAGCAGTGACCCCCGTCCTGTAGACACACCTGGCTGCGCAGGAGGTGGGAGAGGTCATCTCTAGCAGGGACCGTGTGTCAGCTCATGCCTGCTATTAGGGGGAGGAGGAGAGATTTGGGTGAGCAGCCAGCAGTGTCTGCTTCATATCTTATTTTCTACGAGAAATTTAGAGGGTTTTTGCTGGTTTGGAGGCACACTTCGTTTTTATACGTGAATTTAGTCTGGCGGTCTTGAATACATTAATTCACTCTGATAGTTCATTGATTTGATGGGTTTCAGTATAAGTGATGATTTAGTCTCCAGATTGCCCCTCCCCCCTGCGTCCTGCATGTCCTCGTCTGCCGTGAAGCCCTGGCTGGCCCCCTATGCCGTGATGCGCAACGGGGGGCACAGCTGGCGTTCTCACCCTCATACCTCATCCAGATGGAAATGTGTCTGATGTGCTCTGAGTGGTTTGCTTTGCTTTCCTTTTTTAAATAGTGAGGAATAGTGAGTGTCCTTGCCCTGCAGCCTATGAGCCGTATTCATTGTGGCCACTGGGTGAGGCTGGTGCTATCTGGCTGGCCCTCTCTGCCCACACTTGCCATGCGGCCAGCCGCCTTCGGTGACACCGTCGGCCCCTTTAGGCCTTTGACTCCCATGTCCTGGAGGATCTGTTTCTGGTCTCTGTGCAGAATTCCGCTCGAAGGCGTACTCTGAGAGCATTCCTTCAGTGGGAGTTCGCTGGAGGCCTGCCTCGTGTGGGCATTTGTGCCAGTTTCCTGTTGCTGCTGTAACAGGACCACACACTGCGTGGCTAAAGCAACACAAATGTGTTATCTGACGTTCTGAAGGTCAGAGTCCACAACAGGCCTCCCGAGGTGAAGTTGCGATGCTGACAGGGCTGGCTCCTTCTCGAGGCTCCAGGGAGAACCCATTCCTTGTCTTTTCCGGTTCTGGGTCGTTTCACCGGAAACATCTTTGCCGCATTTTCACCACATAACTAATTGGCTGCATGCAATTTTGCTGCAAAAGTGAAATAACTGGTTGACGGTTTTGTTGTTGTCATCTCCTTTCTCCATTGACAAAGTCCTCACGGTTACTCCCATCTTCATACGATGTGCCTCTTTGCCCTCACAGCGGTCTGCACGGTGACAAGTGGATATGGCAGTGCTGGTGGTCTGGAATAGTTAGGTTTGTTCCATTCAGCGATGTTAGGGATGGCTTTTTTGAGCTGCCAGATGATGAGGATATGCCCCAGGAGTTGGTTTCTTATTTGAAACACACTACCTTGGAGGAGAAAGAGGGCCAAGGGCCTCCTCTTTGAGGGCACAGAATTGAACCCACATTTCCCATAGAACGAAGACAAGTGCTTAGTTAGGTACAATCCACACACACAAATGACATCAGTTCTTTGTACAGTATTGCCATGAGTCTGCATATCCACATTTTAAATGTATTCCAATATTTTGTATTTTGCTACTAAGTCTTTTTTTGTGACTCATTTTTCATGTTTCATTCTGTCCTTTTTAGTTAATGTCCCCCTTTAATTTTTGTGATTTTCTCTTTTACGGCAAAATTGACTTAACGGCCAATTAGTTATGCAGCAAAAATGCTCACAGCAAAACCACCAGACACGGTCTTTTCCATCTTCCAGGGGTGCCCCCATCCTTGGCTCATGGCCCCACCTTCAAGCCAGTAGCGCAACATCTCCCATCTCTCTCTGCCTCTGACCCTCCTGCCTCCCCCTTATAATGAGCTGGTGATGATGGAGGGTCCACCTGGGTAATCCAGGACCATCTCCCATCTCAAGGACTTTTTGCCATGTGACGTGACACACAGGTTTTCAGGTCGGATGTGGACATCTTCAGGGGCTGTCTCTCGTCCTGCCATAGCATTGTATTAAGCTCAGGAGATGTGATGACAAAACCCTGCCCTCATGGAGCCTGGGCTCTAGTGTAAGGGACAGTGAGAGCTACCACAGCTCTGGAAGGGGACAGCAGGAGGGGGCAGCCTCCCCACCGAAACGGCGACAGCGTGTTGGCACTCTGGTGCACAGATGTTTGCATTTCTACAATGCCGTGTTGTGTGCTGCACTGATGTCCTGTGGGATAAGTGAGGGGTCATGGAGGGCCTCAGGTGCACCCAGTCCTCCCCATCAGGGGCAAGGAGCTCTGTGTGCCCCCAGTTCTGGGCCTGGACTTTGCTGGGCCGAGAGGGTGCTGAGGCCCAGGTGGGGGCAGGGTCCTAGGCTGGTTGGGTGTCCCTTGGACAGGGTGGATGGGGGGTCTGGAGCCCCTGCTGGTTAATAAAATAGCTTTCCTAGCCAGTCCTCAGTGGTGGTTTTCTGTGTTTTGCCATTTTAAACAATTTGAATGAACATCTTTTGAACTTGTCCCATTATTAAGATAACCTTGTAGAAATAGAACTGCTTGTGTTCGATTTGGCACCTAATGGCTGGTGGTCTCTCTGACTACCCGCTTCCTCAGGCCTTGTCAATACCGGACGTTGACTTCCTGATCCTTTCTGACGTCGGAACGACACCTGCTGTAGTCTATGAGTCTTGGCGTATCCGTGGGCTGAACATCTTTATGTATGCTTATCAGCCGTTCTGTTTCTCCACGTTGAGACCTCGTGGGGGAGTCTGCTCCTGGTTCGGGTTCGCCTGGTACTGCTCTCACTAGCGTCACTCGGGCCTTCAGGGAGCCCGACCTAAAGTGGTGACCTGTGTGGTGACCTCACCTGCTCACCTGTGGTTGTTCGTCTCCACGGCTTTACGGAGGAGCCAGAAACTGTAGCAGACCCCTTAGCTTCCTGCCCCAGACCCAGCGCAGCCCACAGCCCTGTCACCAGGTCTGGGCTCCAGCCCACCTGCTCCCCTGGCCTCTCCTCCTCCAGCTTCACAAAACCTCCCTCACCAGCTGGCCTCTGCTCAGTCCTGAGCAGGAGGAGAGGGTCGGGAGCTCAGAAGGGGGGTAGTGCCGCGGGTGGTTAAGGGGCAGCAGCAGTGCATTGGGCTCACAGAGCCTCTGCAGCTTGGACCTGACCCGGGCCTCCACTCCTGTCACAATGAGCTCTCCTTTGGGAGGGACGTGCTGTAATTGATTTACATTGAATCTGGACCTTTGATGGAACGCATTGGGGTGTTTCATGTGTTGATTAACATGCATTTTTCTCTTGCAGAAGCCAAAGATGTTGACCAGAAAGATTAAACTCTGGGACATAAATGCCCACATCACGTGCCGCCTGTGCAGCGGATATCTCATCGACGCAACCACAGTGACCGAGTGTCTGCATACGTGTATGTGCAGGGTGTTCTAGACTGTGGCCTTTGACAGCCGTGTGTGTGTGTGGTGACCGAGTATCTGCATACGTGTGTGTGCAGGGTATTCTAGACCGTGGCCTTTGGCGGTTTCTAGCCATGTGCTCTTTGACCATGTGCTCTTTTACCAGAAACTTTTAGCTGAAGCACAGAGCAGGACACAGGAGCAGGAATATAGATGATCTTGAAGATAAATCAGAAAAATTATTTCAAATTAAAAATACTGTGGGTAATTTCAGTAGTGATATCATTTAAGAAAGCTAAATACAGGAAAACTTTAGTTATTTCTTTATAACGGCTAAATCAGTAACTGTGGTATGATAGAATATTCATTTCTATTCTGCAGAAATGCTTATTTTTAAAATTTCTGAATGAACTGCGTAAACTTTTTAAACAGGAATCTGGTGGTCTGCGCCTCACGGCTAGTAAGCCCGTGTTTTGATTTTTAGAAGACTTGTAGCTTGTGCTAGAGTTGGATTTTTTTTCTTTTTTTAAGCACCACTCGACCGAAAAGGAGATAATCGTTGTTTACCTTGAAACTTAGTTGTCGTGTGAGGATGGTTGAGAATGCCAGTGAGAAGTACACCTGTCGATTTCTGAGGAGTACTTTCTTTATTTTTTTTTATTTTTTTTTTTTATTTTTATTTTTTGTGAGGAAGATCAGCTCTGAGCTAACATCCATGCTAATCCTCCTCTTTTTACTGAGGAAGACTGGCTCTGAGCTAACATCTATTACCAATCCTCCTCCTTTTTTCCCCAAAGCCCCAGTAGATAGTTGTATGTCATAGTTGCACACCCTGCTAGTTGCTGTATGTGGGACGCGGCCTCAGCATGGGAGGACAAGCGGTGCGTCGGTGCACGCCCGGGATCCGAACCCGGGCCGCCAGTAGCGGAGCACGCGCACTTAACCGCTAAGCCACGTGGCCGGCCCGTGGAGTACTTTCTTTAGACAGGATCTTTAAAATAAAATAATTACCTCTAAGATCACTTTTGATCTGCATTTTTTCACTTTAGAAAATAAAATATTTGCCAATTTTTATGGAATTTTTATTTTAAAGTTAATTGTATTTTTAGATATCGGCAAGCATAATTTTATGTTATTTTCATTGACTTTTATTTAATTTTGTTGTACAAAAGAAGTCTCCTGGGTGCCAGCCCAGTGGTGTAGTGGTTAAGTGCGCGTACTCCACTTTAGTGGCCCGGGGTTCGCAGGTTCGGATCCCAGGCGCCGACCTACGCACTGCTTGTCAGGCCATGCTGTGGCAGCATCCCATATAAAGTGGAGAAAGATGGGCACGGATGTTAGCCCAGGGCCAGTCTTCCTCAGCAAAAAGAGGAGGATTGGCATGGATGTTAGCTCAGGGCTGATCTTCGTCACAAAAAAAAAAAAAAAAGTCTTATGATCCTTTAGGCTGACTTAAAATTTTAACTATTGGCCCTTATGGTGAGAACACTCGGACGAGACACTGCAAGTGTGTCCTGATGGTTTCTCAGCTCTTGACATCCAGACAGCTGCTCCCCACTTGAGTTTCTCTCCCTGTTGTTCCTGAGCCTCAGCCCTGTCGAGTAAGGCAGCTGGTCGAGCCACTGTCCGTGGTTGGGAGGCTGAAAGGAGGTGGTGTTTTGTTGAGCGCCTGCGGGGCGGGTGTCCGCTGGGCCTTGGTGTGTGTCTGAGCCCGAGGCATGTCAGCGCTTGGTTTTGGGTCCACTTTCTGACAGCAATGTGCTTTTGCCGACAGTCTGTCGGAGCTGCCTGGTCAAGTACCTGGAGGAGAACAACACCTGCCCCACGTGCCGGATCGTCATCCACCAGAGCCACCCACTGCAGTACATCGGGTAAGTGCCCGCGCCCATCCCCAGCGCCGCCTCTGTGGCCCTCGTCCTCTGTCAGTGACCTGCTTGGGGCCGAGGGCTCCTGTGACCACATGTCAGGCAGGAGTACTGGGCTGCTCCTGCAGGTTCCGGCAGCCTTCACTCACATTGAGTCGCTTGAGAAACCTGAGGACCCCGCTGGATTTCACCAGTTTTACACTAGCGTGGCTAAAGTTTACTCTGAACTGGGCAGCAGCCCTTAGACCTGCCTTTCTGCCTGGGAACGAACTGGCTGGCTCCTTGGGCCCCTGGACCAGGTCCTTGCATGTGGCCTGCATCTCGCTTCCTGGGGCCAGTGGCTCTCCTGCCCTGTGCTGCCTTCTTGGGTCTCGGGGAGACTGGGCCCCCTCTGAGTCCACACTGATTCTGAGGAAGGGTCAGGAGATGACACAACCCTGACCTGGGGGTCAGGCCAAGGAGGGCAGGAGGTGCTGGCTTGTAGCTCTTAAGCAGAGTTTACGTGACTTCCAGATTTGGGAGCCGTTTTAATGGAAGTGAAGTGCTCCCCACACCACATGAGAACAGCACAGGTAAGTCTGGAGACAAGTTTTGAAGGAAGAGAGGCATATTTGTGTGTTCACACCTAAAGTTGTGAAATGCATCGTGCACGCAGAAGAGTTTAAAAACGCGTGAACAGGGCCAGCCCAGTGGCATAGTGGTTAAGTTTGTGCACTCCGCTTCAGCTGCATGGGGTTCACGGATTCGGATCCTGGGGGCGGACCTGCACACCACTCATCAAGCCATGCTGTGGCGACGTCCCATATACAAAATAGAGGAAGATTGGCACAGATGTTAGCTCAGGGCCAATCTTCCTCACCAAAAGAAAAAAACAAAAACAAAGACAAAAACGCATGAACAGCTTAAACCTCTTTGAAGGGAACGGCACTCCAGTCAGGAAGTGGCAACCGCCAGGCCCAGAAGCCCCCTCCCTGCAGGCCAGTCTTCTCTGCATTTGCGCCCCAGCCAGCACCAGACAACACAGCTTGGCCTCCCCTATTCTCCAGCTTTCTACCAGCGTGTTCTACCAGCTGAGTTCTCGTGCACCCTGCCGATGACTCGGCCAGTTCTCCAGAGTCGCTGTACGTGTGGAGCTGCGGCCCACAGCATTCCCCAGGAGGAGGCCCACTGTCTGCTGAGTTCTGTTGTGGGTGGACGTCAGGGGCTGTCCACTGTGGGCTCTCCTGCACGGGTGTCTCTCCTTGGCTGTTCCCGGGAGCAGAGTGTTGGGGTGTGGGGATGCATGCCTTCCCAAGCTCTCCTGGCCTGCATGGCCTGTGGGTGCCCATGCGCTGCATTCGCGCCCGTCCTTGCATTGCCAGATGCTTACCTTTGCCGCGTGGTGGCTCTGGAGGGATCTTGTTCCTTTACCCTGATTATCCAAGCCCGGGCCTCTTCCCGATGTTACCTAGCCATTTGGGTTTCTGGGGGTGGCTGTTCACGTTTTGTGTCATTTTTCTACTGAGTTTTCTGTTTATTCTGCTCTGAAGAAGTGCTTTACATGTTCTGGGTACTAGTTGTTGGCCAGAGCTAGGGAGCTTTCCTGATGTGAACTGCCAAGGGCAGGTGGTGGAAGGGCGCCATGCTGGCGGGGGCGCTGTGGGACTGCTCCTGCTCTCCCTGCCCTGGCTCTTGACAGGCAGGGCTGTCTGCAGAGCGGAAGCCCTTTTATTGTCTGAGACGCTGTCATCACAGGCCTGGCTTAGTGTGCTAACACGGAGAAAGAAAGAAGGCTGCACAGTGGAGTTGGCTGGGTGCACGCCAAAGAAGTCTGCAGCTTGGGTCGCGGGCCTGGCCCTGCCTCCTCCTTGTGCAGTGACCATGCGGTGACGAGGGCCAGGGAGGCAGAGGTGCCAGAGCTGGGTGGACATGCTCAGCCCTGAGGCCTGCCCTGGGCCCTAGGCCTCCGGACGGCTCTGTCCTGGTAATCCTGTCCCTCACTCCTTGCTTTCCGGGCTCTGCCTGGAACTGCACTGGCTGGGGTGGTCATTTCGCCCGTCCTGACGCCAACTCTGAGTTTGACTCAGAGCCTTGTTCCTGACGCAGCTTCACCAGCCATACCTGCCACAGCCTCCCGCTGGTTCTGCTACCCCCAGACCACGAGGTTGCCCCAGTAGAAGGGCCTCCAGCTTCAGGCTGGCAGAGTGAGAGGGCCGTGAGGCAGGGCGGAGCCGTGGGGCCTGGCGACATCGCTTGAGTCCCGGGCAGTGGTTCAGGACTTAGGAGGTGGGGTGTTGCCGAGCAGGGCTGGCCATATACAGATGCCAGACCAAGCTCGCAGGGTCTGGAGGATCGGTGAGGCAGCTCTGCACTTAGAGCTGAGGGCTTTTGCCTTGTGGGCCTGGTGGAGACCACAGAACAAGGGAAGAGGTGAGAGGGTGTGTGACCTGTAGCGTGGAGTATAAATGTGAAAGCTGCAAAGAAATGGCCTCTTCTTCAAGGGGCTGCCCCCCAAGAGCCTGGGTGTGGCTGGACACCAGGAGAAGTGCCCATGCTGTTCTGTCCTGCCCACTCACACCCTCCCCGAGGAGAGCTCCCTGTACCCCTCCACTTTGCGCCCCATGGGTCCTTGGCCAGGCGGGCGGGGCCTGGCACGGTCGCTCATGGGACCCAGATGTCGAACTCTGAAAGTGGTTCAGCCCAGCGCCCGCTGTGGGAATCAGGCAAGCTTTACAAAAAGGAGGCAGAGGTACAGTAGGACCGTTGAGGGCATTGTGTGCACTGAAGGTCAGCTGTCTTATAATGCTTCCGTGTGCCTGTGTGTTATCCACACGTCCACGTAAACGTGAGTGTCGTGACTGAAGTGTATTTTTTAGTGTGGGTCGTGGTCAGGAATGTCTGAGGTCTGGCATACCTCGGACTGGCTCATCACTGGAGACTTTCAAAGCCTAATGTCCATTAGAACTTGGAAATCCAGCAGGCAAAGGGCGCTGGTCACCAAGAGGGTCTTGTCTATGTCATCATTATTTGAAATGTTCATAAGCAGCTAGAACCTAAATTAAGTGATGCATTAATTCAGGTCATATGTAACTTTTGCCAGCACATTTTTTTAAGTGCAAACTAGAAGCAGAATTCAACCAGAACTCCAAATTTGTGATTGTGGAGTTTGATATTGTTAAATGGAAATGTGTGAGAATTATAGAATTGACACTTCCAGCTAACCCCACCTGTTCTGTTCTTTTCGCCAGTCATGACAGAACCATGCAGGATATTGTTTACAAGTTGGTTCCAGGCCTCCAAGAAGGTGAGTGTCAGATTGTCCACTTGGATCCCTAAGTCTGAAGCCCGGCCTCGGAGCGCCATCTCCTGGGGGCCCTAGCTCTCTGATGAGAGGCCCCTTTCTTTGGCAGCACCACCATTTCATTGTGGTCCCTCCTTTTTCTTGCACTCGTCTGCTCCTTCATTCCAGAGCTGCTGGTGTCTGTGTTGTGCGTGCCAGTCCTTGTGTGGGCGGTGGGGGCAGAGCAGGGACAGGCAGCCTCCCTACTCGTGCCCACACAGCAGGGAGATCAGGAGCTGGTGTGTCTGTGAAGTTTAGCTATATTCACAGTCAAATCTCGTTGAGAATTAAAAAGGAATATCGTGTAATACAAATATCCTAAAGGTGAGAACGGCCACTCTTTTTAAAACTTCCACAATTCTTGGGCCGGCTCCGTGGCTTAGCGGTTAAGTGAGCGCGCTCTGATGCTGGCGGCCCGGGTTCGGA